CCTGCTGGAAAGAATCCAGGTTTCAGTTCTACTTACAGTTGAGATGAAGCAGTGGTTGCCATCCTGCTCAGCATAAAGAACCCCATCCTTGATGAACACGGAGATTGCGCGGAGGATGAAGGAAACAAAGAGGTTCATGTGGATGAAATTCCGAGTGCAGTGAAGCTTCCTGGAGAGCAAGGAGGAAGGGAGGGGAAAATAGGAGAAATAAAGAAGGAAATAGTTGTATTGGATGGAAACATCGCACCTGGTCTATCTGCATGTGGTCAGAGAACCCTGGTGCTAAGATAGCAATGTTTATAAGCCAGGACTGTGGTTAGTACTGATCCTAAACCTCAGCCAGGGGGAGGATTGGGGCATTTTCTTGAAGCATAAAACACACCCAGTTCAATACACCTCCTGAAGCTTCACAAAACAGACCCAAAGATTCTCCAGCTGCATTTACCACCTACTGAAATGTTGACTACTGGAGCAGGTCCAAGCTAGGGGAGCAACTCAATTATAGGGTTTTCTGCCTTATATTCTCCATTTGGGGAGGTAAGAGCTTGGACAGATGAGCTCCAGTTTCTCTCCTGCAGTGACAGAACAGCTCATTGCCCGTGTCCTGGCTCACCTGAAGCGGCACAGGATGACCATGGCAGTGGTGAGGGACACCAGGGAAGTGCTGTATCCCACCGTGTACAGAGCCTTCACAGACAGGTAGTAGTAATCCTTGGGAGGCAAACAACAACACGTGGGTTAAGGGTTCATCTCCAGCCACATCTTCCTTGCTCTGCCAACACGTAGGGGGAACCAGAGGCAGGATTTGTTTCTCCAACAGCCTGGTTTCTCCTCTTTTCCCCCTGAAATCCCACAGGATAGCAGAGCTCTGCTTTATGACAGCTGTGCCCTCAGCTCTGTGTGCCATGAAGTTATTTGTCTAAGAGTTACCAAAAGCTGTCTCTATTTTTTTTTTTTTATCACTGTGCATGTACCTGTATTAAAAAAAAATAATTGGCCAAGGAATTCTTTAGTCAATAGGGCAAGAAGTGCAGGTTAACCCATGATTCTATAAGTTACAAGCTGCATCAACAGTAAAAACTCATCTTCTGTAAATACTGAGTATAAGGTTAAGAAGGATTTAAACCTCACATTTAAATATCCGATTGCTTATTTTTATCACTATCAAATCATAACATGACCAGAGGCTGGGCAAAAAGCAGTGCTGCTGCTGCTGCTCCCCCATCCCCCCCTTCATTTGTTTTTAATTCCAGGAGTAATTCCCACCTGGTTATCGGACTCTGTCTCGTTTTCATCAA